GCGGCTGCAGCAATGTTTTCCTTCACCCAAGCTACTTTCTTAGATGTTAATCCACTAATCTCTCTCTGTTAACATTTCATTGGCTGAGCCGCACCATCTCCGGTCTAGTAGTGAGGTCTATTGCAAAAGAAGAATCCAATAATTATTCCTTTTTGACTTTGCGTTTACATCAGTGTACTATTTCTCAAAATCTCATAGAACCAAATAGTCGCACAGTCACTCAAAGTACTCTGTTAACTTCCTTCTAGATTATGTCATTAATTTACATTTAGAAGAATGTAAAAAAAATACTTATCCACGTACCATAAATATGCATTCATAGCCTTTTCACTTTTTCACATTTGTCATATTTTACCCAAAACCTTCCATGCAGTTTAGTGGCATTTTATTTAATATACCAAAATAGCATAACATATCAAAGTGTTAAAAAGATGTTAGAATATTTTAAAATTGCTAAAAATGAAAACTTTTTTTTATTGAGCACCAAGAGTGAATAGCTGATTATATACATGGTTATATCTAAAGCATTGAATTGTAGCTCTGGTTGTTTGTTTAGGATTAAGAACCTCAACCTCAGTCTTAAATGGCTTCTAGCCTCTAACTAGTTTTTTTCTAGAGTTGTCTTGTGCTGAGCTTCATCCATCTTTTGTTCAGCTATGATCAGCTTCAGATCATAGTTGAAGAAATGCATCCCCACAGAATACTGCTGTCAGTATTGACAGTGGAGTACAGGATTATGTACAGTCCTAGGAATTTTAGTCTTGTGTAACCAGAGTACCCTCGCCATGTTTGAGACTGTTTACTATTTAAATTAGAGGACTTCTTAAGGCAAATCTTCAGGCTAGTAGGAGATCGAGCTACAGCATCTCTCTATCCATCCGTCTGTCCATCCATCCGTCGCTTATTCTTGCAAAGTCGTGGAGGGCCCATCAAGGATTGCCTTTCTCCAGCAATTATCAAGTGATTGCTGAGGTACACCATGGACAGTCACCGGTGCGCAACATAGACACAGCATATTGATATATAATTTCTTTAAAGTAATATGAATTAATTAAATATTCAAATATTTAATTACATTTAGATGACATTTGGTGTATTTTACTGTGTCAATTTGGAAATATTCAACATTCAGTGCTTTAGCGCTTAACTATGTCTAACTGAAACTCTCGACCACACCTTTCACCTTCATAAGAATATTAGGAATGAGTAAATACAACATGCTTATTATTTAGCACAAAGTATGTTTTGGAAACAGAAAGACAAGTGTTAAATCTGTTCTTGAATTTTAATCTACACGCTTACACAACAGCTACTTGTTATTACTTTCCCAGAACTGAGACTGTCAGATTTGCATAGGTGGCAGAAGGTGGGTGCAAATCCCTAGTGGGGCCCAGGGCCGATTAATGATTAAGAGGAGATTATGTGGAGGGTCAGGTGTTGGCCGCCGGTCTCATTCAGATGCTCCCGTAGCTGCCTTGTGATATCTTTGTCAGTATGACCACTCGGCTCCCTCAACAAAGAATGAGGACATCATGGAGAAAATAGGCAAATATGAGGATGATGTCAGGTGTTGCTGACAAAAGCAGAGAACATGAAGGTGAGCATAGTTGTAGATTTTTTTTAAAAAATATTTCCTAAATAAGAGTTTTTGCATAATATTTAAGCAAGCATGATGGGAGTGATTTGTTTTTACACGTTTAATAGAAATAAGAGATACTGATCTTATGTTTGTTTCATTGTTATGGCTGTTGTGTTGATATTCCATGCTTATAAAAACCTTGTCAAATGTCATTCTACTTATTGATCACTATTTTCCTTTCTGAGACAGTATATTCATTTGATAATATATGTATATGTATATATTATTATTATTTTTTTTACTATAGCCTTCTTCAGTATGACCATAATGCAGCGTCTACACTATATCAATTACGACGACTGGAGTAAGCTGCTTATGAAAGGACCGACAGAGAACCTACAACCAAACCCCCACCCCTCAGTCCGCTGCCCCCTCTGGAGGATAAACTGTTCCTTTTCCAAGATCTACTTACATCCCACAATTAATCCCACCCTCACCTTTAAGGAATAACTACAAAATATACAATCAATGGCAGTTTTAAAGGTAAAGTTTACTAAGACCAGGAGGGACAAGCTGGCCCAGATCCTGTGGATCCTCAACTGGATCTCAGTGGTTACAGGGGTCATCCTGTTCAGCCTGGGGCTCTTCCTCAAGGTGGAGCTCAAAAAGCGTGAAGAGCTGATGGCAGAGAAGGACATCCAGTATGTGCCCAACATGTTGATAGCTGTGGGCCTCATTGCTTGTGCTATCAATTTCCTGGGTGGGAAGATCTGCTATGACTGTGTGGACTCCACCAAGTTCTTGCGCTGGAAGCTGATCATGCTGCCCTACATCGTGTGCACCTTCTTTTTCACCCTGTGCGTGCTTGTGGGGGCTCTGATGTGCTACAGCATGCACTGGGAGCTGGAGGAGGCTCTGGACCTGGGCCTGATGCAGGCGATGAGGTTCTATAAGGACACGGACATGCCAGGACGCTGCTTCCTGAAACACACTGTGGACACACTGCAGATACAGTTCCAGTGCTGTGGGAACAGCGGCTACAAAGACTGGTTTCAAATTCAGTGGATAAGCAACCGTTACTTGGACATGTCCAAAAAGGAAGTCGTAGAGTAAGTAAAGCATGCTGTTGCAACATTTTAAAAACTTGACAAAAAAGACAGCAATACAGAGCTGTTCTTCAGAATGAATGTTGACATTTTACAATTGAACCATACCCTTCTTTTTTTTCAATGGTTGAAGATTGAGAGAAGAAACAACTTCATTTTTAACAGTTGAATTTAATTCTAGTGATCTCCAAACTATAAATTCAGACTAAATAGTTTCTAGATGAATATTTAAACCCTTCTTCTGGAAGAATTGAGAGCTTATGGTTTGTTTCCTGACAAAAATCTGGCTCTTGGGCATAGTCCATTATCTGTTCAGTAAGGCAAAATTGTAAGCTATTTCTCACATTGATTTATTAAACGTGTGTTTGAGATCATCTACTCGTAGTAGCACCCCAACTGTCTTAATCACAGTTTATTCATAATTAAACAAAGAACCTATTTTGTTCACATAAGTTCAGGTTACTTTACATGGCTTTTTTTTTTTTTGCCTGCATAAACTAACAGAGAGAAATGCACCAAATTGACCAAAAAAAAACTCAACTTTATCCCTTTCCTGCTCTCAAGTCGACTGAGAAGTAATGTAGAGGGGAAGTACCTGATGGATGGAGTCCCATTCAGCTGCTGCAATATCAACTCACCTCGACCTTGCATCCAGCAGCAGATTACCAACAACTCGGCCCATTTCAACTATGAGCATCAGACCGAGGACCAGAACCTTTGGATGAAAGGCTGCCGACAGGCACTGCTGGAGTACTACACCCACATTATGCAGTCCATTGGCCTTACAGTCCTCATTACCTGGCTCTTTGAGGCAAGGAAACACTATATAGCTACCTTACCTTGAAAATATATTTGTACCTCTTGAACTTGTCACATATCAAAACCAAACATTAAACATTTTATTGGGATTTTATGAAACAGACAAGTGAAAGTAGAGCACAATAGTGTGTAGAACCATAGAAGTCTTTCTGAATTTGTCGGCCTGGATTGCACATGTAAATACTGAAATCTTGCCCATTCTTCTTTGCAAAATTTCTTTAGCTCAGTTAGTGTGCATGAAGAGCATCTGAATGTAAATTTTCAAAATTTTCCACTCACACTGAGTAATAGATTTGGGTCCTAATTATAACAGGGTCACAAGAACACTTTCGAATGTGGTTTGAACGTGTTTCCATATGCCTTAGTCTCATGTCTTTTGTAGCCTCTAACTGGTTCTCTTTTAATTACTGCCTGATTACAAATCTGATTACCTCTGTTCCTGTAGAAAACAGTTACAGCTTGATACAGATACAAAAACAAATAAACACTTTGGGACTGTAATGTGACAAAATGTAAAAAAAAAAAAAGTACAAGACGGAGCAAATATACTTTCACTGTACCTGCAGTTGTTTAGAAAAATCTTTACATTTAGACAATCTTAACTTCTCTTTTGGTCTTCTAAAAATAATTAAAGCATACCATATCCAAACTTCATCTTTTTTTTCATTTTTGTCACTAATTGCAATCCTGTTTTGTTTTAGCTGTCAGTGCTGACAGGTGTTCGTTACCTCCAGACCTCCCTGGAAAACGTGCTGAGGCAGGGAGACCCTGACTCCGAATCTGATGGTTGGCTGCTGGAAAACAGCCTCATGGAAACGGCCCGCATCATAAAGAGCCTCGGCAAGAGCAACCAAATAAACACAGCCAACAATGGTGACCCCAACATTGATGTCCCATCCACCTCGAAGGCACATTATGGGCCAGACAATGTTCCCCCAAAGGAGAAGATGGAAACAAGCTAAACATTTCAGACTTAAAGACCGTACTGAAAAATATCTCCAATCCTCTGAGCTGTTGTTGTCTTAAGATAACGTATTGTCTACCTTTTTTTAAGATCTGTTAATGGTGTTATATATTATATTATTTATGTCAGGATATGATCCATTTTACTCGTCAACTACAAAAAAAAATGGAGTGAAAAGGTTTGCCATAACCAAAGACTGGCACTATGTCAACTTAACAGAATAACTTGTCAGTGAAAGTGGCCTTGCCATTAATAATGTTTAATCATGCATGTTTTTTAAAAGTCCAAACTTTTGGATGCAATGGTGAAGTAAAGTACTGAATCTGTAAATATGTCTAATAGTTGTGCTACAGGGAAATGTTTAATTGATTACTTTTTACATGCTTAGTGTTAAACCAGTGTTTGGGTAGAAGATCTGATCTATGCATTCTATAGATAACTAACCACTTTAGTCACCTATAATCATCTAATCACTTTTTGTTGACAAAATGCAAGGCGGCCATCTACAGGACGTTTTGGCTGTCACTTCAGATTTAGATTCTTGAGCCACATTTATCTTTATTCTATTTGTGCTGGTCACCATACATAAAATTTATAAAAATTCTCATCTAACAGAAAAGCAAGGTTATATACATTGCAAATGGGTATTAAATCTATGAATTGATTTAAATGGGACAAAACAGCAAATAAAAACAAGTGGGATTTACATTGCAAATACCACAGTGTACTCAGTTATCCAACAAAAGAAATGGCTACGATAGTCAAATACTGATAAATGGATTACATAAATATTTATCATAAGGTTTTAATGTAGGTACATTTAAATAGCTGTATAGTTATATTAGGTATATAGGCCTTAAATTACTGGGTCAGAGGCTGCTGGGAGATTGTCATTGGGACCTGTGTACTGATTGTAATCCGTTGCCTTGTTTGACATCGAATCATCCCAATAATGGCTCTCCTGAACCTGCAGGAAAAAAATCTTTTACAGTCCCAGAACACACCATCAAATTTAATCCTGTGTAGTCAAGAAAACACTCACTTTTTGTTGGCAATAACATAGATGCAGGGGTTGTAAAACGTTGAGGACTTTGCGAAGAGAGGAGCAATAATGGCCATCGGGGCAGGTATGGTCTTTGGGTCACCAAATGATGCCCAGAGGCAAACCAAGGAGTAGGGAGACCAGGCAACCAGAAACATGATGATCATTATAATAGACATCTATAGGCGGGAACACAGACAACAAAAGTCTTAACTTTGACACTGATTTGGTTTCCTTGTGGATAAATGCATGTTTTACCAATTTAAACATACTATGTCTTGTCCTAGGAAAATTATTGTGATTAAAATAAGTCTTAATAAACATTTTTTCACACACAAAAACCATGTCTACTAAGTGTTACACATAAAAAAAAATATGTTAAAAAAACTTGCAGTTTGCTAGGAAGAGTGGGTGTCAGGATCTTTTTTAGTTGCTGTAGTTACTAAACTGTAGTGAATTTGTTGGATTCAAAGCCTCATAAATTAAATTCTTAGGATTTGCTTTTTTAGTTCACAAGTTTATGACAGTGACTCAAATGATGGTCTGCATCATTTTATCCCTCTACAGTCTTCTACTTAACATCCAGATCAGTTCTCCAAATCACCTTGACTCTGAGAGCCTATCCAGCCTATGCAGTGAATATTTCATTTGGTTATGTCTGGGATCTTTTCCCTTTACTCTTTTACACAGGGCTGAAATGTAGCTAATTTAGTAAATCTAGAGCTTACTCTTTTTGCGCTGATTCTTCCACAACATGACACACCAGAACAAAAACTCCTATCAATGTGGATGAATCACAGAGCCATTCTTCCAACTTCTTCTCTGTCCTATCATTGCAATTGAAAAAATGAAATAACTGACTTTCTTTTGGCTTACTTCTCCCCAGTCTGTCTTGAAATTCACTGACTTGACAAGAACAAAGCAGCACAGACTCTGAACTTCAGTTTAATTTAGTTGATTTGGGATAAACTGAACAGAAAGGTAAAAAGACCACCACACATTTGTGGAAACATGTCTGACATTCTAAAATAATCTCTGCTCACTAGTGATTCATCACCTTCAAATTTGCTGTTAATGAACACAAAATAGTGTCCATGTTGTGTATTTAAAACAGGCTGCTAGGAAAAGCAAAGCTGACTTACTTTGGTAACGTCCATCTGGTCAGACCAGTCGATGTTGATGCTCTCCAGGCAGTTACTGGTTTTGTACCTCTTCACGGTGACAGACACGTTGTAGTAGCAGTAAAACATGACAGATAAAGGAACCACAAAGTTTACTGCAATCACCGCCATCGTGAAGGAGATGAAGGAGCTGTGAAGGAAAAGTAGAGGTGCGTTATAAAGAACGTCGAGCAAGTGAAGACTATGTTACACAAAAAAGCAAGATAGGCACTACTGAAAACTCACGCATCGTTTTGTCTCCAGTTGATTGTGCATGTTGCTCCAGTGGGGTCAGGGGCGTAACTTGCCCAGCCTACTATTGGCATGGAGGACCAGAACACAGCATTCAGCCAGGCAGCCAGAATAAGGATGTTGTAAGACCTAGCAGTCATTTTCTGACCTTTAGAGACAAAATCAAAGAACTTCAACAAGAGCGAGAGGGAAGAACTTAAAATCTGGATTGTTTATTAATTTCAAATGTTCCTTCCTATTTTGAAACTGTTTGAAAGTGGGAGTTTTGTTTTGATCAATTATTTTTGACTGATGGTGTCTACAATGCTATGCTAATTCTGTCAACAACTTCCAGTCTGGCATTTTGACATGATGTAAAAACATAAATTCGTTTTGATCTCTCTGATTTTAAAGAGAGACCCGCTTTGAAAAGATTTCATCGACATGAAAACTTTTGCAAGGCTTCAGATAGGCTGCAGAGTAGTTGGAGTTGCCACTGCCATCACTTAACATGTCCTATGGCATCAGGTACATTCAATAGGAACCAGAATGTCCAAAAGCTTTGTTGTGGACACTTTGCAGTTACTAAAACCAAGAAATATACACAGTAAAAGCTGTCCCTAACTGTAGCAAGGAATGGTACGGACATTCTTGGCTTTATTAGTTTTAGTTGTATAACAATAAAATTTATTTTGCCCTTCAAATCATATAATTTGTCATTTTAATAATGTTTTTGTTAGGTTTGGATGCTGACAAAGGGAGTTTCTTCCTTCTACACGGCTCAACTAAAGGTAAAGGGACATAAAAGTTGGAGAGGAAAAGAATGGGCTCGTACTGATGTCTGGTCTGCAGATGGTGAGGTAGCGGTCAATAGCAACCACAGTCAGTAGGCCGATGCTGGCCATGCCGAAGAAGATGTTGAGGGCTGCATATATCTGAAATCAGAACCAAAACAAAAAGTTCAAACACAGATTTTCTATGTTGATCTGAATCTGTTTAGCATCACTAAACAGTTGATAGGCTATTAAAATTATACACAAACACTAGTTTTTAGCTCTTCATACGGGAAAGCATGTTTGCATCGTATGGAATGTGTGTTCCTGAAAGGAATAAAACATAGGTTTGACCAAATCTGCACAAAAACAAACATAATCTTCAGAAAGAAAGTCCAAACACGTGACCTGAGCTGACCAGCTGAGGTGAAAGTCTGCTCACTGTTTGGAGTCATGGCAGCTTAGAATAAACCTAGTTAACCATTCTAATTTTACATGACGAGACAGAAAAAAATAAAAAATAAAAAAAGTATCCAAAAGAAACAAAAATAAAAAAAAAATCCAAAGAGAAACTCTTGATCAAAACCACATTAAAAGACTACAGAGAAGTAAAGTAGAAGAAACTGTGTGTGATGTGTGTGTGAATTTTTGTTTTTGTTTCCTCACCTGACAGCCGGCGTAGCCGAACTTCCAGCTTCCATGAATATCTGAGGCAGCAGACATGGGATAACCAATACCAGCCACTCCAATGTCAGTGAAGGCCAGGTTGATGATGATGAAGTTAGTGGCTGTGCGGAGCTCCCTGAACTTTACAAACATCAGGAGAACGACGATGTTACTGGCCAAACTGATGACACCTGAGAGTGGAGGAGGCAAAAGCTTTCTATAAAGGTAGTTCTTTATGCATGGCCATGTAGGCTTCCTTCAGATTTTTGCTTCCAAATGTGTAACATTTCAAACATTCAAGTACAAAGTAACATACATAATCTGTATGTTTGTTAAATCATTTAACAAGAAAATAAATCTCTAAACAAGTTCAGATATGATAGATAAAAAAATATGAATGAATTTCAAACCAATGCAAGAATCACACTACTGTTTTGAGATTCTTCTTAAAACGTTCTTCTTACATTGAAGGAATAAAGTCTTAGTATTCAAAAGTTTTTCCCATACTCCAGTTTCTTTCTCCATTTTATCCAGAGTTAATAAAAGCACACTTGTTACTTTTCTGGAGGTTTTGTGACCGTGTAGGAACCATAGTTTTCTGAAAGGTTGGAGATCAGTTATCCAGCTTGGGCTTGAGTCCTAAAATTCCTCTACATAGCTTAATAATATTCTACACTATTGTTCCTTTTTTTTTTTTTTTTTTTTTTTTGAGGAACCTTATTTTTAATCAGTTTAATTAGTTTTGCCATGAATTTGTTAAAGTGGAGAATCATTTTTTTTTTTTTTCTCAAAGGGTCGGTCTGGCATGGATATGACATTTAGACCATAGGAGAATAATGAACTTAAGCTTCATATTATGAGGAAACCATAGCTATTCAACTTAACTTTTTCTTTGTTTTTCCGATGGCGTGTCCTTTTTCCAGATTGTTGAATAAACTCAACAATATACCATTGTTTTCACACACGATATTGTTTTCTCTGTTTCTGCCAGTTCAGTTTATCTAGAGTTATATCTATGAAATCCCACAGATGGTGTTCCTTTTCCTACCTGCAGTTATCAGATATCCAGCCACGATGTTGTGCTCCATTTGGCTGAAAGCACTTTTTCCTCCGTATGGTGCAACATCACCAGAACTGTTCACCTCTGAGTCCATCCCCATCTTTTGACGTGTTTTAAAAACAATAAAAACCAGAACTCTTCTTTACTGTTCTTCTCTAAAGAGCAGAACAGTTAAAAACTCTTGAGATGCTGTTTGAACAGAATAAAGAGTCAGAGAGCTGGTGTTGGGAAACTAAAGCCTGTTTCTCGGTGGATTATTACATTCCAGCTCTGTTCTCTGCTGGGAGCCAGTATTTCATACAAAAGTAAGGATTACTGCTCATGTGGCCTGAAATCTGGGTTCTGACACTGACATTTCAACAAAAAATAACATTTTAATTGTGTCACACAGCAAACATTACAGAGGATTCTATTGCAACCCCTGACATTCCTATACCTCAGTTAGAGATCACATGTGTTGTTGTCCCACATGTGTTTTTTCATTACAAAGCAAATGTATATGACCAAGATGACATAACATTAGTGCAGATTAAAAATTCCTATGCTAGATGAGGTAAAAAGGCATTTTAGATCTAGGAGATATGGCTCACCCACTAGGATACTAAATGGTCTTAGACATCACAAGCAGTCTTTTCAGCATCACAGACAATTGTCATTTGTTATTCACAATCTAATTACTACAGGAAGTGTTTCTGTACATTAAAGCTTATAAAGGACATTGAAAATGCTACTTGATGTGTTTTCAAGAAATCTGGATTTCATTTGAACATGTAATTTAAAATCTCAAATAATTAAACCTGTTAAATCTGAGGTAGATCATCCTGCACTGGACATGGATACTTTAAAACCCATTTTAAAAAGTCTCACATTAATATAAACTATCTTCTTTAATTTCATTTTATTAGAGATTATTCAGTACAAAGCAGGAAGTACTAATACGTCCCTCCCGCCAAATTCCATTATTTAATCAAAAAAGTAGGGACCAATCCTGCTTTGGTTCTTTCCCAACATGACTGGTCCATAAAGTAATGAATGACCGTTTACAAGGGAGAAACTTCATTTGCTTGATTTTCTGGTACTGAATCCTTACATAATCCTAAAGGAGGCCTCTAGAGCGAAATAAAAATGTGTTCTATTGTATATTTACTTTAATTATTGAAAAAGTACATTGTGACTTTTTCACAATGTCCTAGATGCTGCTTTTATGGTAGCTCAGTCCTGATGAGACACAAGACTTCATCCAAGACAGCAGGTGGCGCCGTAAGCATTACTCTTGTTGTAATATGTTAGGTAAGACCGAATGAGCATTTCCTCACATTGACTCATCAGCTTCTCTCTGTTAAGGAAGATACGTGACATCGTGTCAAATAATAATAATAATAATAAAAATGCCGGGGATCTTGAGGACCGTTGCCAGCCGCGTCGCACCCGTCCTGCGGGGACACACTGTCTCCCAGTCGGCGAATATGTACACCAGGCCGGCTAAAGAGAAGATCAGCTTCGTTGTGAGTGTCAGGGCTAATGGCTAGCTGCTAGCCGCTAGCCGCTAACGACTGTCCTTTTGGAGGTCATAGTCTGTGCTCTCTTTAGTTATAGATTATTACATTTTTTCAAAAACCAACTAGATTTTGGTGACTGATGGTGGATTCACACACTCTTGTTTAGTTAAAATCTTTTTCGATTTTTTTTCAGTTTGGCCTGAAGGGTTTCGGAGATCTGCGAAGTTTTCCCTTTCAGATTAAGACTAACTTAATGAGAAACTGTTCAGAATAGTTTTTAACCCCTTCTGTAATCAATTATATAGTCACCTTAAAGGTCAACTAGTTTAAACAAGACTACGTTTAATGACCTAATATTGCACTGAATCTTAATGAGATTCAATTTTAAAATAAGTTAATTTTAAGTCGTTTAAAATGTTTAACTGGTTCTGAAAGCCAAAGTAATCTCTTTGAACATATCCAAGTAGTAAAAACCAAAAAATCAACACATATTCATACTATTACGGTACCACTATTTTAATGTTCTTCTCTGACTAGTAGTTTCTCTTCAGCAACTTGTTTATTTTAAATAAATCCCTCCATGTTTAGTATGAACAGCAGAACATGTGTGACACAATGTGCAGAATAGGGAGAGCAATTTAACATTTACTACATCTGCTCAAGAGGGACATAAAACACATTTAAATGTACAGGTTTCTGATGAGAGCTTCGTCTGCAGCTCCAAGGTGGCTCTGTTTTCTAACCACAGAATCATTAGGAAAAACAACTAATCTTTTTGAATCTTTATTTCAGGATTGGATTTGTTAAGTATATGGATTTTAATAAGTTTTCTTCAGTTTGGCTAGAAAGATCAATATGTAGGTATGGATAAGATGAGCTTAAAAATGATCTCTATCTTCAGAAATTTGCTGTGATATTGAATAAAAACATGAACAAAATTCAACACAGCTCAGTTTGCTATAAATATCCAACAGAGCCTTGATGACAGGTCAGGATAGTTTGCCTCACCAACTATGGGTTTGATGCTGAATTGTTTACTGCATCTAAACTATCCATATGTTTAGTGTTCAAAGATAGAAGTTGGATAGCGTTACCTGTTTGCTCAATTGAAACGCAGCCTGAATGCAGTGCTGATAGACAATTCTGTATACCGCTGAAATTACTTTTTATGTTCCGTCAACTCCTCACATCTCAGTTGTCTCAGGTTTGTGTTTCTTTCTGACATATTCTCCGTCCTGAGATTAATTCTTTGTTTTCTTTTTGTTCAAACCGGGAAACATCCCTTCAGTGCCATACATTTTTGCCTCAGTTGCACTGAATTCAATTCAAAACACTCCTTACTGTTTCATCTGTAAGATGAATTATAGATCTAAAGATTTCTTCAATGTCTGAAGATAAACAGAAAACCCTTCTTTGCTCCTTTAGCTTGAGGATTGTATTTAGTCTTTTATCAGTCACTTGTTTGTAGACCAGGAGGTGATGTCTGCTCTTTTGCCCTTTTAGCTCAGTTTGATTGTATTGTTCTGCACTCATCTGCTGACTCTTCAATCCGTCTTTCTGTCTTTTGTCCAGGAATCATCAATTGCATGCGCTGTGTTCTCCGCAACAATCCTTGGACCCTCTGGATGGGTCCTGGCTCACCTGGAGGACTACAAGAAGAGGGACTAAAGTGGAAACTATGTCCGATGTTGTGCATCCAGCCTCCGTCTTATCCTGGGATCATCATCTTAATTTAATGCTGGAAAGATGTTTTTGTTATCACTCCTCTACCTCTGTGACAGTTCCTTGCCCCTGTTACAACTTCACTTAAAATTATGGCTCTGTTACGTCAATTATGCTACAATGTTGGTGTCAATCTTCCCTCATAAGGAGTGTTACATAATTAAATTTTAACCTTAAATGATGCTGTTTGTCTATCATTTTTTTTGTCACGATTTTACAGACTTTTGTCGCACATTTCAGGAACCTCAGAGGATTCTGAAGGAAATCCAATACTCTAAGACCTGCTGGTGTTTAGAACAGGTTCAGTTCTGAACATCTTTGGCTGATGACATGACTAACTTAAGGCATTTCTACACCAAAGTAGAGTCAAAAACCTTATATCAACTAGTTGATATAAGGACTGTGATACACCACAATACTTAACTCAAACTGAAAATGGGAATATTGCTAAAACATGCAATGATCAGCTCCAAAGTTATCAAAGTAGGCCTATGTGAACCAGAACTATTGTGCAGAGCTTCCTGCAAAAATCCTGTTGTAACAAAAGTTGACATCCATTGTGGGCCTAGACGCTACATACAGATTGTGAGACAACTACCAAGCCCCAAGTGAAAATATGGAGTCTTCAGCACCAAGATTCCTCTTATGCTCTGGTGTTGGGATAATGTATGGCATAGCAGGGATCATGGGTCAGTTTGCCAAGGAAGAGAATAGGTTTGAACAAGATAATGACTCCAAACACTCCAGTAAGTGAGAGCAACAACAATATCAGTACCAGTCCAGTTTATTCATGTAGATACTTATTTCATAATGTTTAATTTTGAACACTTTGGTCTTCCATGTATTCGGATCTTGATGTGATTTTTGAATACAGTAACATTTCTGTGTGAGAGAATAGCAGGAATGACCAATTAATATTCCTGCTTAATACAAACTATGTACAAGAGAAATGAGTAAGTCAGGTAAAGAAGTGAAGTAATGTTTTTTTTGTTTTTTTTATTAAGATTGACACATGTTGATTTTATCTTAATTTTTACTCTGTGGAATGAGAGGTAAGGTCTGTCAGCTGAACTGTGCCTGAAGAAATAGTGCTCAGAATTTTATATATATTGATCACTTGCTGTTGCATTAGAGGTAAATGACAACAGACAAAGTCATGTTATTGGACTAAGAATCAGTGTTTTAAGATGAAAGAATCTATATTGAGATTTTTTCTAAAATGAAAAATATATAATTCATTCTGATGAATTACATATTTTGAATACATTTTAATCTCCCTGAATGTAGTTAGTTAGAAGTAAAAAAAAAAAAAAAAAAAGATGGGTAAAGTTTGTATAGGGCCCATAAAGAAATGCACCTTTGGAATCTTTCCTTGACCAGATGTAAAAACCCAAAATTCACCTCCACCTTAAAATAAAGTGGATGTGTTTGTTGAGCTTTTTTCTAAACACAGTAAAAATATATACTTTATTTTATAGATCTTGCTTTTTTTTTTTTTTTCTAATGTTTGTTGTTGCTTCAGATTTTTGACACTAGCGGACTTCCATAGCTTCCGCTTTAAAACCACTTAACCCGCTGTTGGTCATGTGAGTTAGGCGGCTGCAGTCTGCTGTGTGCAGTTTGATTAGAACCAGCGGGATTTTACCAGGTAACGCTGCTCTGTGTTGTTATTCTGATGTTAAAAACAACTAGTAGCTGCAGAATAATGACGGGATAATTAACAACAGAGAATATGTTAACGTTGAACAACTGCAGGAGTTTCCGTACCTGCTAGCGTTAGCTCCAGTATCAGTTCTTGTTTATGGTTGTGATTGAAGTTTATTCCCTTTGTTCACTGAGGGTTTTATCAGCAGCATGAGGCTGGTGATTCTGGACGACTATGAACTGGCCAGTGAGTGGGCAGCTAAATACATCCGAAACAGGATCGTCGAGTTCAAACCTTCTGCAGACAGATACTTTACTTTGGGTTTACCCACAGGTAAACAGACTCCCTTTTACTGTATTTCTCTGAGTAGCGGTGTTTTTGGTTTCACTGGCTCTCATGTGCCGTGATTCTGGCTTTGTTTCAGGCAGCACTCCGTACGGCTGTTACCAGAAGTTAATAGAGTTCCACAGAAGTGGAGACCTTTCCTTTAAGTATGTGAAAACCTTCAACATGGATGAGTACGTAGGTGAGTGCAATTTACTGCGCCTACTGGAACGAAATCATTAGAGCTGGAAGTAGAGAAAAACAAGTGCTGTTTTTTTTTTTTTTTTTTTTTTTTGTACATGGCTATTCTAGTTCACTAAAATAAAGGAATGCAAAGGCTGATGTGTATGAAATGCTCATGTTTGATTAAAGCTAAACTCTTCAGAAAACATGGACTGCACATCACCCTTAACACACCATCTCCTTTTGTGATATATGGCAACATTATGCTGTGGGGATGCTTGTTCATCAGTTGGAAAATAAGCAGTGTCCTAGAAGAAAATTGGTTTAAGCAAAAACACTTGGGACTTGGGTGGAGATCTGCAGTCCAACAGGGCAACGCCTCTAAACATACAGCAAGAGCTATGAAGNAACTGTTTAAATTAAAGCATGTTTATGTGTTAGAATGACACTACCAGGGCTCAGACTTGAATCCAATTGAGATTCTAGGATATGACCTGAAAATTGATGTTCACAGTAATACTGCACGGTTATGGAAAAAAAAAAAAAAAGGGTGATGTACAATGATGTTGGCGACAGCTTCGACACACAAAAACTGTAGAAACTTAATAGAGAGTTTTACTTCCTACTACATAAACCAGAACATTTTTAAAACAATTTCTTCTTCAATAAGCAATAAGGAACATGTATAACAATGGCAAAGAGCACCTGAAATCTACTTGCATGCTTATCTTTTTTTTTTTTTTTGCATTTCAAAGAGTTTTTTGCATGATTGATACATTTTGCAACAATGTATCATAATCACATTTGCGAGACATTGTTCCACCCTTGCTCAGCCTCTTTCCATACCACTTCACTACTTTGAGGGTATTTTGCAAAGAGTAATTGGGCAGAAATCTCAGTCACAATATGTGGATGTAAACTTCTAAACACTGCTGGGTATTACCTATGTTATTTTGAAGACTTAAACTTTTAGTAAAAAGTGGTTGGAAAAAAAATGTAAATTGAAGTTATTTCAACCATTCTGATTGTTTTTTTTTCCTCATGTCTGTTCTGTTGCTTTGATTAAATCTGTTGTCTGAATAACACCTTTTTGTAGGGCTTTGTTTTTTTTCTTTCTCCACCTCGCCCAAGACTGACGTTTCCGTGCTGACAGAGACAAGAATTCTGCCGCCTCTGTTTTTGAATCGATGAGATCAAATTTCAGTCATAAAAGTTAGTTGCGAGAAACCAATATATAGCAAAGTAGAGCCGGTTTGAGGCAAAATTACCTAATGCTTGCTAAATTTTCTTAACTCCCTATTAATTTCTAAAATGTATTTGCAAAAATGGCAGATTTTTATGTGACCGTAACAAGTTAATTCCTGCAAGAAATCAAAAGTGTATTCCTTGAGTGTTCACCAGCTGGAGACGGTTGGTCTTCTTCTCTTATTGACACAAACATTTTCGTCCTGCAGGTCTGCCTCGTGCTCATCCGGAGAGCTACCACTCCTACATGTGGAACAACTTCTTCAAGCACATCGACATTGATCCGGCCAACGCTCACATCCTGGATGGGAACGCAGAGGACCTAGAGGCTGAGTGCAACGCTTATGAACAGAAGATCGCTACAGCTGGAGGGATTGAGCTCTTTGTTGGCGGTGAAAATTAAATATTTTTTTTTTATTCACGGTTGTGCAGCTAATTTTTGTTTTGCTACAGATTTTAACTGATTACAATTTCTCTGTTAAAAGCTGTAATGTAAAATAAAAATGGAGCATGAAAATATTTTTTACAGTCTTTTGTTAGGTAAATTAGGAGCATAGGAGAATGCTCACATTATGTAACACAGCAGTTGTTGGAAAACAAGATTTTCCTGCTTCAAAACAAAGCTGATATGATTTCAGTTAACATTCAAAATTGTTCTTAAAACATCATATTAGCGTCCAATCCAGCATATTTAACTGGCTGGCCAAAGTTTCAGAAATGCGTGAAAATGGCTGACTTTGATTCTTCACTCTGTAACAATGTCCACACCAAAGAGTGGTGCTTAAATGAAATTTAACAGCCTGGTAGGTCTTAGTCTCTTGCATTCCCTGATGGTTAAAAAAAAAAAAAAAAAAATCAGTTATTGGTTCAGAGTGATCATACAGACGTAAAACTTCTCGTTACTGAAAGTTCCTGTTGGAATGGTTTCATGTTGACATGAGGCATCTTGAATCTCTCATCCCATCCTCAACAGGAATCGGCCCTGATGGCCACATCGCCTTCAACGAACCCGGCTCCAGCCTCGTTTCCAGGACCAGAGTTAAAACTCTGGCGAAGGACACCATCGTGGCGAACGCTCGTTTCTTTGGCAACGACCTCTCCAAGGTTCCTACCATGGCTCTGACGGTGGGAGTGGGAACCGTAATGGACGCCAAGGAGGTCAGTCCACCCTGCCCCCCCCCCAGACATGGAAGCCCTGCCTCCACCTCATTGGGTTTTTTAATCTCCTGCTCTCCTTCAGGTGATGATTCTGATCACAGGAGCTCACAAAGCGTTCGCTCTGTACAAGGCCATTGAAGAGGGAGTGAACCACATGTGGACGGTGTCGGCCTTCCAGCAGCATCCGCACACCATCTTTGTGTGCGACGAGGATGCCACCCTGGAACTCCGTGTCAAAACTGTGAAATACTTCAAAGGTACTGGCACATCCTGTTTATGGAAATGAGGTGGACGATGTCTTAGGTTTTTCATTTTTATTTTCTGGGTTCTTGGAGGGCTTTGTGTACAAGAGGAAACATTTCAGACTTCATTTTGAATTTAGAGAAGCTAAAATCCTTATAATTCTCATTAGAACTGTTTTTGCAGTTTTAGATTAGCTAAAGGCTTTAGATTTAAATTATACAGTTTTATGATTTCAAATAATTCCAACACTCCAGCCTTAATGTAACACGTGCAATGGGGTAGTTTTTCTGCATCACCCTAGAATGGAATACTTAAATTTTTAACAATATTGCAGAAGTGAAAGATTTTCTGGAAACATTTTTAATGAGATTTAAACATGTGCTTGTCAATGATAAGTTTACAGTTTTCCTGTAAAGAAACATGTCAACCATGTTTCCAGATTCATCAAAAAAAAAAAAAAAAATTTCATCTCTGCTACATAACTATGCATTTAATACTTGTGTTTTTTTTCTTTTTCTTTTTACTGCAGGTTTAATGCATGTTCACAATCAACTGGTGGATCCAGTTCTCAGCATGAAGGACCAGTGAAATCAAGATACGATGTCGCTGGATGATTCATACTGGTAGAGTTCCACAACCAAGGAGCTTCCATTGTTACTGCCAAACAGCTACAGGTTGTTACTGAGAGCCAGCAGGTCAAGTGTGTTTGAAATCCAATTATGAAACTAGTTTTGTTTTGTGCATAGGAATTGAGGAATTGGAGAACTTTAAAAGCAAAACACTCCTTCTCTTTTGAGCTATAAACTTGTATGAAGATGTTTCTTTATATTGTTCCAGCATTCCTTTCATGTTTTTTCTCCTTAAGTCACCTTCCCACTTGGGCTTTTTGCACACACTTGTACTGTAGTCACTTCTTATTTTACAATAGGAAAACAACAAAACAAGTTTGTTAATTAGGATTTTATTCATTTTTGTCTTTCAGAAATGCAAAATAAAATGTGTCTATTAAATCAAGAAATGTTGCAATGCGTTGGTGTCTCTATATGTTGAGGGACATTTAGAGTTTCTCCACAGGGGGCAGAAATCAAAAAGCTTTGAGAACACTTAATTTACTCAGCCATTAAGCGAAACACTTAGATTAACTGAACTGTTTTTAAACTCTTTTTTTTATTAATTTAGATTTTTCTGCTTACAGCTAATAAAAACATAATGTTTAAGATTCAAATATACATATTTAATGTATGTGGGCTTGATTAAAAGTTTAATAGTTGCTAAAAGCTTAATTTCAGAATATTTTTTTAATAAGCTTGACAGTAGTCTGCAATTCCTTTTACTGAGGTGAAACTGCATGTCTTGTGTGATTTTTTTGTGTGGCAGATTTTGCTTTACTCACTTACACTCCACAAACTCAGTTATGGCTTTCAGAGGAACACAATGAAACATTCAAGCTCTGTAGTTTAATTTAATTGTATGAAACCCCTTTCTAAAATGACTTGACAGAAGGAAAAAAAACTGCAAAGGAAGGAAAGATGATTTGTTTTAATGAACATTGTGGTATTTAAAATACAAAAACAAAGAAGATGTTTTCATTTAGTTGAGTGCTTAAATTTCTTCTGATATCAAGACTGAACTGCCTGAAAACCAGCAAGGCTTAGTGTTAAAGATCAGATGGATGGATGAAAAAAACAAAACAAAACATGAAGCACTGGGTTTTTACCTTAGAATGGCCAACTCTCTGTTATTCCTATGTCAATTTGATACAGTAGGGGCTTCCACACTTCCCATATTTGCGTCCTCTGTCACTTTTATCAGCAGTTAAAACCGTTTAATCCGTTGTTAACATGTTGTAACCTGTTTTTCCGAGCCGCCTTTAAACGCAACATGAGCGCTACGACGCTCGCGCTGGGTTTCCACCTGTGAAGGAGACCTGCTGCTGCTGTGCGGAGCTACGTAGGTTTGTGTTAGAATCATAGCAGCAAACCAGCAAAACGCAAAGAACTTTTCACAGTTTTCCCCTCCAAACTAACCGACTGAGTTGAGTAAAGCTGCTGGATGCAGGTAATGTTAGCTAAAAGATGACTAGCTAATATCAATACAGAACCTTAAGCTTAACAAGTACTTTGTAGGCTACCGATGTTGGTGTCTATTTTCAGCTACGTACATTCATTTTGCCCCCAAAAAAGTCGACCCCCCCTTACCCCCCCGTCACACGCGTCTTCAACCAGACTGCCATTTGTAATCCATAGGGGGGGCGCAGAAAATGTTTGGAAACCACTGGGGGGGCGCAGAAGAAAAAGTTTA